ATTGAGCCCCGCATCGGGCTCTCTGCTCTGCAGGGAGCCTGCTTCCCCCTCTTTCCCTCTGCCTGCTTCTCTACCTACTTGTGATCTCTGTCAAATAAATAAATAAAATCTAAAAAAAAAAAAAGGAAAAAAAAAGATTATATTTTGTTGTGGAAAAACACATCAGAAATAAAAGTTTAAAAATATTTATGTGAATAATAACCACCAAATTTGCATTAATAATAGTCTCTGGGGAAGCAGTATAATAGGAGAAGAAAGGAAGTTTCCTATACATATATATTACATATATATATAATGTAATTTATAAATTATACATTATTATAGATATATAATTATGTATTACATAACATATAGCCATACATAATTATGAATTACATATTGTATAATATATATAAATAATGGATATTATTATATATAATATATATTACTAGAAGTATATATAATTATTATAATTATATATAATTTTTAAAGGTGAAGAATCTTCTATTACTCTCTATACATTCCTTTATGTTGGAAATATTACATAAAATATAAGATAGCTGCTTCTTTCAAGAAGGAAAGATGAGAAGGAAAAGAAACTGATTGATAACACTATGTGAATACAGACATAGCATTCAGTTGAGGAAATGAAAAGTAACTTTTGTTTTCGGGACACATGGAAGAAAACTGTTCTGACAGAATTAGCACCTGTGTGGGAAACAGCAGTTAAAGTTGAAATTGTAATAGATGATACTAGAAGCTCTCCATTGTGAAGTAAAAGGAATACAATTAAATTCTTATGTTTTCATGTAAACCATTATGTCAAAGACAGATTTTCTTTTTTCCCTTTGAATCCAACCTCTAACTAGGATATTTTATAGTTTTAAAAAAAGAAAATGAGGGGTGCCTGGGTGGCTCAGTGTCTTAAGCCTCTGCCTTTGGCTCAGGTCATGATCTCAGGGTCCTGGGATTGAGCCCCACATCGGGCTCTGCTCAGCGGGGAGCCTGCTTCCCCCTCTCTCTCTGCCTGCCTCTCCGCCTACTTGTGATCGCTCTCTCTGTCAAATAAAAAAAAAATCTTTAAAAAAAGAGAGTGAGCTTTATTGGTACTTGAGCTTTCTAAATAAAAAACTTTTATTTTATGAAAATTACTAGTGATCATATTCAGGGACATAAGCACTGAAATTAATTCATATGTATATATGTATTTGTACATAGATTACATACATAAATCCAACATATATACATTTACATAAATATTGTCATTCCTTATTTTCCCAGCAACTTATATATGAAGTAATAAAGCTTGTAGCTCTGTTCCAATCAGGTGTGACTGATCACTTCATAGTTTAAACCTGAATCAAATACTTAGTATATAGAACAAGTGTTTTAAAATGAGAAATACTTTTTAGTGAAAGAAAAACGACAATAAAATCTTGCATATATTTAAATGCTCTGCTCTGATAACTAGTCCTGTTAAGAATTCATCTAGTCATACTAAGAAATAATCTGAAAAATGAAGACAATATTGGGCTCTCTTCATTGGTAATTTATTGGGAAGGATGGTTTACACAGCTCATAAAGATCTAATGGTTACCAACCCTTTACTTTTTTAAAATAGTGTGTGCATAGGCCATATTCATGACTATATGAACAAATTCTTGGAAGAATATATCACAAAATAAATACACATGTGACAATATCAGTTTTTAAATTTATGGTTAATTCTATACTTGGGTCCAGTGTTCTCACAAAGGGAAGCATGCTGGTTGCTATAGCTTTGTGTACTATTTTGGTTAATTTAAAAAAAATTATATTTCTTTTAAAAATTTAACTTTTAAGTAATGTTCACACTTAACATGAGGCTTGAACTCACAATCTCAAAATTAAGAGTTGTGTGCTCCACTCTCTGAGTCAGTGAGGTGCCCTTAGTAAATAGTCTTGACAATAATAAAGTATCATCCCATTTGAAATAATTGCTAAATTGTATAATATTTTATCTCCATTTTCTTTAGAATCTGTGGTAATTTTTATGATATTTATTATTATTATATTATTATATTATTATTAAATTATTATAATAATATTATCTTGCAAGTAATATTTTTTCTTTAAAACTGAAAAAGTTTCCATGTGGTGAATAGTTTTAATATTTTTATCATTTAACATTTAGATTTTAAATCTTTGGATCATATGATAGTATCTCTTTTCCTCCCTTATGTTCCTTAGAATAGCACAGTGTAAGAATTCTACTTAAGTTAATACTATTTAATAATGTTGTTGATGATGGTATGATGATGGTGGAGTTGAGACATAGAGCAAAAAAAGTATGAATCATGGCATCTGTATTGCCGGTTACTTTTGTTGTTGTTTTGGTTGCTATAGTCATCTGAGACTCATAATTCATTTGATATATTAAAACGTTCTAATAAATATCACCTTAATCTGGATAGAAGACTGTAACTTGACCATTAACTGCACTTGACCATTCAAAAGTATTTGTTGAATTTTAAATAATAGCAGGAAGTAAGCATTTCACCTCAATAAGATGTAGCATTATAGTCATCTTTTTAACAGGGACAATAATATCTCTGAACTATTATTTTGTAGTGAAAACACTACAGCCTGGAGATAGTCCAGTTAAATATTCTAAGCTAAATAAACATATTTTATTCAATCCCCAAATGTTTTCTTCACTACTTCATTGTTCACTAAATTGTCCATTTTTCTGTTTCACTGTCATATTCCCAGAGGGTTACTTGACTATGGAATTAAACACCCAACTTGTCATAGGTGGATATTTGGGGTAACCTTTCAAATCATACTGCATTTTGTTCCAAATTTTGGTAAAGAGAAGTAAAGCATAATGTCATGTTGTTACTAAGACGCAATGTCCCTATGCTTCTCCAAGTCATCAAGAGGTCAGAGGTAATGTCTTTAAAAGAAAATCAACCAGCAATCACTTAAACACTGAAATAAGACCAATCTTATTTCACAGCCAGTTTCTGCTTTATCCGGTCTCTCTTAATAGAAAAGCATAAGCTAGAGGGGAGAAAAATAAGGAAGGACAATATCAGGAAAAGCAATAAAAGGGAATAAAGGGTTATGTTTCAGACAGCAGGATTTCTAGAGACCTCGGTAATCTCTCTTCATCATTTATTCTCCAGGATTCCAGACATAAATTTGGGGTACTTTCTTATTTCCACATTATTACTGCTAATCAAATCTACTTTGCAATATTTTAGTTGAATTAACTCAAATCATGATTTACCACTCTAATAACAAGAAAATTTTATTGGCTAAGATAGATATTATATTGAACTAATACAGTGTTACTGAACTAATGAACTACTGTCCTTGAAGAAATCATTAATACTTTCTGTGCCTCAGTTTACTCATCTACCAAAGGTAAACTCTAGGTTCCCTTCTAGCACTATCAGCTTATGAATCTATGAATATTCTTAGGACAAATGAGAAACATATTTTCTCTTCATAAGGAAGATCTTTAATTATGATTTTTATTAAAAAGGTAAGTAAGACTGGGTTTTTATCTTTGATAGGAGTCTTTGTATTACATTATACATGGTAAATATTTAAAAAAATAAATTCTATTGATTTCCTTCCTGCATTTTCCCTTCTGTTGTTAGCCCTCTTCTCAATAGATGGTGCTCTTTTCTCAGAGACACTATTTATCTTATTCCTCATCAAAAGATTAGAGAAATTAGTTTTATTCTTTAACAATCATTAAGTCAATCAGACATACAAGAAATAATCAATTACAAACAACTCACAGAACTTGATCATGAAAGCATAATAGGAAAAATGAATGTTAAATGATTAAGGAACTCCATTAAAACCTGCAGTACTTGCTGAATAGATGAAAAATATTGCAACTAAGTATGAAATTGCCATGTTCTCTACATACATATAACCCTGAGTAGGAAGAACATCTCAAATTAGAAATCATTTTAAAGTGTTAAAATATTTATCTACCTTAACAGAAATGCATATATAGTATTCAATTATTATCATTAGGACTTGAATATGCACGCCAACACTAACACAGTTAATATTGAAAGCTTGCACACTCTTTGCCAAATAAACCTGGAGCATCTAGGTAAACAGAAAATGGGCCACAAAATCTTGAAATAATTTCATGGATAAAGACAGATTTTCCTCCCAGAGCAACCACTGTAACTTCCTATATAATAGTTTTAATCCAGAATTATGCGCTTTTGGTCACTTCTAATTGGCTTCCACTTTCAGAGGATTTGGAAAACAGTCATGCTCTGCATTTCTCCTGAAACACACTGTCTATTTCCAAGTCAGTTTGTGACCCCCTAGCAGAGCTGGCAGCTGCCAACTGCAAAATGGTCTAGGCAACACTACTGTCACATTTGTTACTACAAAACAACACTATTTACTGCAGAGAGACACCAGAAAAACTTTCTCACTGAGTGTGTCCTCAGGATAGAAGGATCCGTGGGGTAAGGACAAGTGTGACAAGCGAATGGGGGTGGTGGTATGGTGCAGTAAAGTACAGGTGAGCCAGCAGGGATAGGAAAGTTGCCAAGGTTCATGTCTGAAAAGAACTGAGAAGGAGATTGGCCCCCTCACCAGGAAACCTAACTAGAATTCCTCTTCCATTATTCACAAATTACCGTTTCCACAGCTCCTGTGGAAGGGATTGTGGGATTCTGTGCCCAAGAACCCTCTTGGCTCAGTGTAAGTGAGCTCTAAGACAGCATATATATGTATATATATACATTTTTTTCTCCCAGAGCTTTACATCTTCTACCAAGGCAACTTCTCTGCTACTGAAATTTTTGATTTCTTTAACAGTGGAAGGGAAAATCGAAAAGTGAATTTTTGCACTCACGATAACCACTCTATTCATCGTCACCCCCTTATTCACCTCCCTTCTCTCATCCTCCCACCAAACACTGCCTGGGGGGTCAGGTGTCCCTTTATGCCCTATTAGCTGCTGAAGTCTCTGGTGGGAGTCCTGGCGCCTTCCTTACCTGACAATCACATACATGACCAGGAAGTTTCCGAAGAGACCCACCACGCACACGATGGAGTAGAGTGCCATGATGGTGATGGCCGTGATCATGGAAGGACTGCCGGTCGGAGGGCACGAGCTGTCGCTCCCGCCCAGTGCGGTGCGGTTCGGACCGCATGGTTCGGACAGGTTGCCATCTAGGTGGGAGAAGTTGACCCAGGAACCGGGACTAGGTGCCGGGGAGCAACTTGAAGAGTGCGTATAGGGATCAGTGCAATTGCTGGCGTTGGTGGGGACGGTGCTGCTGTCCATGGTGCTGACGGCTGGCTGGGACCTCGCTATGAGGTAAACCCGAGCACCCAGACTTTTCCAGGTTCCACGCGTCTTGGCCGCTTCCTCTCGCCGCTGCCACAGTTCCTGCTATTTCTTACAGAGATCAGCCCTGGTGCAGCCAGAGAGGAGCGTCAGGTAGAATGGGAGAGGGGGGATCTGACATTATCCACTGCTTGTAGCCCCCTTCCGCCGTAGTAGTAGAGACACATCCTCAACCTCACACCGCTATGGGGAGGGGAGGGAGGGCTGTGCGGGATCCGGAGGCTGGAGGGGAGGGAGGAGAGAGAAGGGGTGGATTTTGCGCAAAGCAATCCGACCAGTTGGTCTGCCTCCCCATTCGGCACTCGTCCGTGCAAGCACCACTAAGGAGGGGCAGAATGGGGAAGGGAGTTGGAGGGAAGGGGCGGGGGAGACAGAGAGTTAGTTCTTGGCAGCAGTAAAGCAAAAGAAAGGGGGCTGACATCGGTCTATTTTCCCAGCTCCGTTTTCTCTGTGTAATATGAAAGGAAAGACGTTGGCCTGGTGCAACCGGGACAATCCTTACATCCCATCGCTCTTCCAGCCCTCCAGTCTGCTGAAATCATTCGGGACAGGTTACACAAACTCCTTTTCTTTGCCTTTTCCTTGCCTCAGTCCTGCACGTACACACAAAAGTAACCATGTTTTTTACATCACTAAATCAGAATTTTCAACCCTTCAAACCTGTCTGGAAAAAAAAAAAAGTGGTCCTGTCTCTGAAAAAAGAAGTGAGAAACAACTTGTGTAGGAAACCTGTTCCTTTCATTCCATATTCCCCTAATTTCTCTTAAAGTAGAAGTTCTAGTTACACCTGATTTCTGTCTTGGTGGGGACGAGGCACAAGAGCTTGTTACAGAAATCAGGGGGTTGTGGCATCCAGGAAAGCCAACCAAAAATAATGGTGAGCCTCAACATCTTAAATCTCAAAGATCCATTTAGAATTGTTTATTACCCTTTTATTGACAGACTTCCTACATGGACATGAACTTCTCAGTAGCAGTTCTCAAAATCAGACATTTGTATTATTTTAGTCTGTTTCCTAGTGTAGAGATTCCAGGAGGAATTTCGCAAACATCTGGAACTGGAGCGGCCCACACAAAGTTGGGGAATATTGATACATTTTAAAATTTGATACCTAACTCCCAAGACCCCAAATACTTCAGTTTTGGAAATAAATTTGTAAATCAACCAGGGTTAAGATGTTTTGATTGTTGTTGTTTATTTGTTTGTTTTTTTTTGTAAATTAACACTAATTGTGAGGTAAATCTCATAACTGTAAGTGTATTTGTGTATGTATATATGTATATATATGTATATATCTTTTAACAATATTCATTGGTATTAGATATACCCAATTGGTTGTAGAAAACAGCACTCTTGGGGAACAGGAAGAGAAGTGGGTTAGGGAGCTTGGAAAGAACATTTAATTCCCATATGATTTCTACCATCTTCTTGAAAACAGATAACTCACAGGTAAACCCCATTAATCATAGGTTACTTTACCGATTTTCAGCATTATTTTTATCCTTTTACACTAAAGGTATAAATTCATCAGTAAAAGTTCATAAAGATCTCCTAAGGACTAGTAAAAATACCTTGCAACATATTCTCATATGAACTAGTATACGACCTCACACACATTGAGCTGAAATCTGTCTGACATTATTTAGTCTCTTGAGGACATATAGAATCAGTTTAAGCTTATTTCATGTGAAAGACAAAATAAGGATAATGTAATAAGCCCTGGACTTGGGCTCAAATAATTTTGTGAATTTTGGATTTATAACTATTTAGCAGTGTGAGTTTGAATATGTTATTTTATCTCACTGAGTGACAGTTTTGTTATCAGTAAAAAAGTTAATAATACCTTATAGGTGTGTTAGCAGGATTAAATAAGGTATACAATACAATACTAGTTATTTAATAAATGATAGCTTATTACTCCATTTCATATATTTGAAAATAACAAAGTAGTCTCTTCCACAAGTTAAATATCAGCTTCTTTTGGCTATTTCTTATAAAGTATAGTTTTGTTTTTTTTCAGTAGGCTTCCGTTTTTTCTATTCACATTATAGTTTGTACATCTGTTCTTCTTCTTCTACTTTTTTTTTTTTTTTGTATGTCAGTTCTCTGTTTGTAAGGTAGAGCTCCAAAGCTAAAAACAATGCCCTAAGTTGGCATGACCGATAAAAACTGAGCAAGATTATAAACTTTTCTTTCTACCAATATATGTATTGGAAGGTCCCATTAACTTTTTTTTTTTTTTGAAGTCACATGCTTTCTTGACACTCCTGAGGCCTAGTACTGACAACATTCTCTAAACATGATCCAAATGAGTTCAATAGATATTTATTAAAGATCTACTTTGGGTCAGGTGCTGTAGTTTTAAAAGATAGATACAATTGTTTTTGGACACAGGACCTGACTTCTCATATCGTGTAATTTATGTTTATCTTTTCCTATAAATTTATAGTTGTTTAGAGAAATCTGAGTACAACAAATAGGTTTTTAATTTTTAAATTACATCTTGTTAGATCTAGTTTATGATTCATATCTAATAAAATCTTTTGGAATTGTGATTCTGTCATCTTCTGTATGCCTGCTTCTGACTTTATATATTTTATTTACCTTCCCAGCTTTAACTGACTCCTGAGGGTGGGCTTGTTCACTATGTACTTAATACATAGTGGACTTTTTCCTTCTTTATGTATTAAATACATAGTATGTGTACATATATAATATGTTAATTTAATTGAGATATAATATATACATATAGCATATGTCATATGCTATCTATATGCTCTATATAATATTATATATACACATACATGCATACATATATATAAATATAATATAAACATATACCATATGTTTTATAAATGCTACAGACTGTCACTGAATGTTTGTGCCCCTCCAAAATTCATATGTTAAAATCCTAACATCCAGTGTGATGGTATTAGGAGATAGGGTCTTTGAGAAGCAATTAGGTTATGAGGGTGGAGGCTTCAGGAATGAAACTATTGCCTTTATTAAAAAAAAAACTCCAGAAAATTCTCTAGCTCCCTTTTCACCATTTGAGGGTACAATGAGAAAAGAGCAGTTTGGCAGTCTGCAACCTGGAAGAAGACCCTTATCAGAACCTGACCATGCTGGCACCCTGATCTTGGAATTCAATTTCCAGAACTGAGAAATAAATTTCTCTTACGTAGAAACCACTCAGTTTATGGCATTTTTGTTATAGCAGCCCAAATTGAGTAAGACAATAATATCATCTAAACTAATCTGGGTGATTTTTAAATGGTACAGCTTGGGAAAAAAAACATTTTAATGAATATAATAATAACATTTGCCCTTTTAAATTCAGTATATTCTGTTAACTAGTCAGCATTTAAACGAACAGACATATGGAGAGCTCATGAAACTTTTCTCTTAGAATTACTGTCACAGAGTACAAATTCCCATTATCCTTCTCTAGAAACATCATTTGTTTATCATTCTATTTTATAAATATACAATTATTCTATCAAGTAAGTATTTGAATTCTGGGCTTTAATTACATATTTTTAACTGAAATTTGATGCTTGGCTTTTCTATTTCTCTTTCTCAAGTTTTATTAAGGAAATTATTATTTCTATTTTGAATGCAGGATTTTCTGGACACCAATGCAAGTCTTTCATTGTAGGCTGAGTATATCCTACCAATATAAAATTTGAGAAAATCCAAGACAAACTTAATTTCTCTTTCAAATGTCATAGGACAGCCTTGAGAAACCCAGGGAAAAAGCTATTACAGAAATAAAATTTGATACCACTTAATATATAGTATAAAAGGACCTCAAGTTCCAGTTTTGTCTTATCTTAGTTGCCCTATGGGGTGTTCTCCCTTTTCTCCTACTTGCATGTTTCTTACCAGAGTTGTCCTTTTTTTTTTTTAAGATTTTATTTATTCACTTGACAGAGAAAGAGAGATCACAAGTAGGCAGAGAGCTAGGCAGAGAGAGAGAGGGGAAGCAGGCTCCCTGCTGAGCAGAGAGCCCAATACAGGGCTTGATCCCAGGACCCCGGGGATCATGACTTGAGATGAAGGCAGAGGCTTAACCCGCTGAGCCACGCAGGTGCCCCTCTTACAGAGTGGTCACAAGTCTGCTGTGAAATCTCAGGTCTCTTGTAAAAAGAGGTGAAATGTAAATACATAAGTCATTTTATAACATGCTTAATTATTTTATATAACTTAAATTCTAACTATATAATCTTTAATTTCCTTAAGTCTTAGTACTTATCTGTATAATAGGAATATCTGCATTTTTGTTAGTATTTCTTATTTATCCAGGATTTTCTATTTGAAGAAAGAAAAACTTATCTACCAGTCAAAACTTAACATTACTATCAAACCCTTATCATAAAACATTTTTCATAAAAATATTTGCTTCAAAGCAGTGCATTTAGTAAAAGAATGGATTCTAGACAGGTGCTAAAAGCCACTCACTGAATTTGAAAATATATTAGCTTTAATTATTCATATAATTGCCATTATCCCACACATATTTTAATAGCTTAGTCTTAATTTTTTCTGGAGACTGACTGTTAATGGAACACAAGATTAACGGTTATTAATGAGGAATACAGACATAAATACAATGTATAAAACTATTATAGTGGTTTGAAGCTCAGGATAAAAGGGGATATCTAAGATTTCATTAGAAGAACACTTTATGTGTTTATTGACTGATATTTTCTATTTATTTAACATCTGAATGTGTATAACTAAAGAAAATTTAAATGCATTATGATGCAATATTATCCTTGACCACTGTATTGTTGCATAAACATTCAGTAAAGTGCAACAGGTATGTTTATATGGTAAAAATAAAACAAAAAGGAAAAAAATAATTTCACAATCACTTCAACTCGATAAACCTAAGAGAGAGATGTCTGGGATAGAAGAGACAAAAACCCTGGACTTTATTTATTTAAAACATTAAAAAATTATTTATTTATTGAATTATAATTGACATACAATGTTATATTAGTTTTAGGTGTACCACATAGTAATTCACATTTAGAGGGGTTTGGATAATTCTTTATTGGGGATGTGGGGGGTTCTGTCCTATAAACTTTTTTTTAATTGAAATATAGTTGAAATACAATGTTACAGTAGTTTGAGGTTTACAACATAGTGATTCAATAACTCTGTATGCTGTGCTCACAGGTGTAGCCACCACCTGTCACCACACATTATTATAGT